GAAGAAGAAGAAGAAGAAGAAGAAGAAGAAGTGATATGTAGACAGGTGGACAGGTAGGAGGCCTCCGCAGTGACTTGTTTATTGGGGACCCTCTGCTTCTTGTTGTGCTGTCACAGTTTCCTGATTCTACAAACACTGGGGAGACGTCTTCTCTGCAAACATGTGGACAGATGGATGTTGTTGGGGTCTAAATGAACCCAAGCTGTGGCAGCAGTGACACCTCTGAACTCGACTAACCAGATGATGAATCTGCTCTACTGCAGGAGCACGTTTCCTTGGATACGATGCAACTTAACGTCTGTCTGCTGACCTGTAACGTGACGTTTCCGTTGTTGCAGAGCATAACAACATGGACTCATTGTCGCAAACATAACATGCATCTGTTGTAACAATGTAATGTGTATCCATTTTTGTGTAACATCACACCTATCCACTGTCACCTAATGTAACATAATGCGTATCCACTGTCATGTGACATTTTTATTGTAGCAAAACATCATGTAACATGGCTTCATGTACAGCAACTTAACACATATCCGTCATCATGTAACATGCTCCAAACCGTAACCCTTGTCCCGTGGAAACACTAGAAGACCACTGTGCCAAACAGCCATGAGTTCCTCAAGTTCAGGTCGTATGTAGGTGCAGGTCACACGTTGGTGTGTTCCTGTACCAACACTATGAGACAGAGCTATCCATTAACTTCTAGTCCGTGTTGATTTGTCTGCTGCATGTGAAACAACTGAAATACATATTCTGGCTTCTACTTGTGTTCAAATGTGTTCTACCTTTAGCATTACTAACAGAACAGACACAGAGAAACAAATGACCATGTTTCTGAAAATCTTTATTTAAAAAAAGGAAGCAGAGGGCAGTATGATACACACGACATTTCACTTTCAGCTGACTGTGCTAGTTAATGCTGAAGTGAGGAGCTCCCACTGCCTGCTCGTCGTCTACGAACTGAAACAACTAGACGGGTATTATAGAAAATGCACTGATGTGGAACTCGGTGTCTATTACTAGCGACGTGCAGGAAACAGTCGAGTCCAACTCTTGACACGATGCACATACTGCTGTTTTCTACACTAAGGCTGTGTCTGAAATCACTCCCTGTTCACTCATTCACTGCTGCCTACATAACATACACCGAGTAGTTCACTCAGTAGGGAACAGTAAGTTGAGATTTCACACTAATCACTGACATTTTGCGTCATCAACAGCTATAGAACTGCGCATCCATAATTTGTGGGATTGTTAGAAAATGGAGTACATGGCACATATGCTTTTTTTTTCAGTGCAGTATATAGTGGATAGATTTACGCACTCAGCATTCAGACCCCACCCACTATAGCAAGACGAACACACAGTTTAGCCAGCAGGGCGAGTTCAGACACAACCGGAGTGTGTGCAGAGCTTTCTGCCTCCATTTAATGATGACAGTCACTTACTAGTAAACACCACTAATCAGTTTCTCTCACATATCAGATTTTCTATCACGTGTTTGTTGGACAAAACAAAGCTTTTATAAAATGAACTGATCAGTTAACAGTAAAAATAATCTACAGGTTTATGGATAATTGATATGCAACCATTATCGCAGCCTCAGTATTTGCTACAAATATAAGGTTTAATGTCTCTGCAGTGTGATTACAGATACACAACAGACCAAAGTGTACAAGCAGGTACAAAGCAGTGAAGGTGGTTGCTGCCACAGAAAAACCTTCAGGAATGGGTGATGGACAGGTAAATGTGGCGTAGCTCCTACGTATATACAGTTTACCTACAGTTGTAACAGAGTTCTGTGATCCTCTGTAGAAACCGATATGAGAAGACAGTTTCTTCACAACCAGAAGAAAAACACCCACACCAGCACATCAGACACAGGACCTACCTTTGACTTTGGCTTCTCAACTAAAAGGATATTGCACAGAAATATGTACACAGATGTGCGCTGCATTGATTCTGTTTCTTCAGCTCCATCCTGGGCTGACCTGAAGGGTTTCTTTGGGCTGGATATACTAGGAGGTCTAAGCTCGGTCAGTACTTTGTTATAATGTGGATCGAAATGAGGAATGAACAGCTCTACACTATAAACCTGTTTCGTCACTCAGATCTGGAGATCGGTTTTTAACTAACCCCCTTTGATGAAACGTCTGTTGAATAATGGCGCTACAAGTTGGCACATATGCACAATGCATGTTTTTCAGGAAATCATTCTCTGGATTTAAAACTATTTTCCATCAAAGACCACACACATCATCTGTGTGGACGGAGGACCTGTTTTTCGAGACTAGCTGTCGACCAAAACACAAACACACCCTAATCAACGATAAAAGACAATGTTACTCTACTCGCAGCTACAAGTCTTACTGTAATCAAATTGATTGTCACAGGCGCTGGATATACACTGATCAGCCGTAACATTATGACCATCAGCAGGTGAAGTGAATAACACTGACTATCTGTTACAGTTACAGGGGCCTGATCAAGGTAAATGAAATGTCCTCCTGAATCCCGACAGGTACGTGGGATGGACTGGACAACTCAGCTATTGCTCAGTGAAAAATAAAACTAGACCTGCAGCCAGGTACACCAGGGTCTAAGCATCCAATCCAGACGCAGAGAACCTTTGTCAGTCGGCACGGCATCACGGGAAGCAAAGGAGCTTTATATCTTTGTCAAAATGTGTCCGAATCTCAAGCTGTTTCATTAGACGACACTGAAGAACATTTTGGATCCAGCTTTGGTGACATCCGAACAATGAGCTAATGCAGAGTTTGGTCATCGCTCTAATTGTTGTCAGACTTCTACTGAATTCGGTTTGAAATATATAAAAATTATATATCAGTTTAATACTGGAGGACAAACATCTGCATAGGAAAACGGTGTTATAGGTTCCACCTAGGACAGAAACTAAATGTGGAGCACATCAAGGCCCTGTGTTCATATTTTTGTCATTTGGAAATTTGATTGGGGTGACAGGTTTTTACAAAAGTGAGACTGTGCAAACAAATACCAAGCTCATATAGCTGCAGACAAGAAATCTGCAAAATGGTTGAAAAACATTTTGACACCAACATGGTCTCTGAGCTCAGAGGCAAGCGTGGGTTTAGCTTATCACACCATTGGTCGTGATTCATGTGGCGAGTTTATATAATTGCCTTTTAGAGCAGATGCACTCAATTCTAAGCTTCAAAAAAGATGTCCAAAACAACAACACAGAAACAGATACTCATTTCGGCCCTCTGGCCGTGTTGTCCATGTAGTAGACGTTGACAAGGTGGCGGTTCAGGTGCCGGCGGTAGTCCACCTCCAAAGGGAACGTACGGTCACAGAAGATGCACATATGACTCTTCAGCTCTGTTGGTGTTGGGATCTCATCGGTGGGCGTTTCAGGGTCACTGGCCATCTTTCCCAACCCAGCACCATTGCCGTTGAGACCGGAGTCGTCGCTGCTCTCAGAAGCGCTGTCACTGATGTCACTTCCCCCTTCGTGACTGCTGTGAATGCCTTCATCGTCCTCTGGGTCCACGGGTTTGATTCGCTGGCCGGGAAGTGCCAGAGAGGGTGGTGATGTGGGTTTAAGGAAGGTTGGAGCAGGGTGGTCTTCAGCTGGAGAAGCTGTGTCCTGACCTGAGCTGCAGATGGCTGAAATGTCCATTCTCTCTGAGGGATTGTTCAGAGTCCTCTCTGGTAATGGTGGAGCTATTTCATCTGCTGGGGTGTTGCTGTGTTCTCTTGGGTGGTGCTCGGGGTCTGTGCTCTGTGTCAGGTTGGCCATCTGAGCAGATGCTTCTGGAGCCTCTGTGCAGGGACTGTTGACAGAGTTTGTTTTGTCTTTAGCTGGATCCACAGTTTGTTGAAGGCTTGTAGTTTGTTTCTTGCTGGAGCTCCTGGTCTTTGTCTGCCTCACAGGTGTTGTGTCATTGGACCTGGGGCGCATAGTGGAACCATTTGTCCGATTAATGTCTTCTGAAGCAGGTTTCAGCTGCAGCTTTTCTGCAGCTGTGGTTTTTAGCCGTTTGCCCTTGGGTGGAATCTCAGATAAGAACTTTTTGGAAAGATCTAAAGCCTCTACCGCTTTCCTCTTCAGGGCCTTTTCCTTAACCACCTTTTGCTTTGAACTCATCTCATGACTGTCTGGTTTCTGCTGAGCTTCTTGGACATGAACTGTAATTTTCTCTGGCTTCTTTGACCCAGACTTCCTGGGTTTGTTCAGGCTTTTGTTTTCTTTGCCACTGCCATCATTCTTCTGCTGTTCTTTCTCCTTTTCAGGCCTAGACTTTTCTTCCACTCTCTCCACATTCTTCCTCACTACTCTTTCCTCCACCGATCTCTGTTGCTCTGATTTCTCCATTTGGCCTTTGTGGGATTCGGGTACTTCTGCTTGGTCCTGGACTGTAGTTTTTTCTGCCTGCAGCTTCTTTATTTGTCTCTTCCCCTTGTTGTCTGTATTTACTGGAGGTGGTATCATCTCCGTCGGGCTTTCTTTAACAGATGTGCTCTCTACAGGATTCTCATTGACCTTCTCCATTTTCTTCTGCTTTGTTGTGCCTTTTTTCCCTGGTTCCACCTTTTCCTTCACCTTTTGTGGTTTCTCTTTCTCAGAAATAGCATTAGATTTCTTCTGAGCCTTGTCCTGTGTTTCACTCTGCATCGGTTGGGCGATGCTGGGCCTGCTGCTCTTTCTGACTGACAGGTTGATGGGGCTCGAGTCCCCACCTTCATCCTCATCTCCATCATACAAGTCCTCCTCGACACTGGATGAATTGTCAAACTTGCTGGCTCTGGAGTCTGAATTTTCCTCTGCACCTTCAGGACCAGGTTTCTTGACACGCAGTTTGACTTTAGAGACGTCCAAGGCCACATTGTAGCCGGAGTGCCTGGACTTGATGTGGTACTGCAGGGAGACTTGGCAGGTAAGATCTCGAGCACTGTCCTCCAGTACGTTGATGACATCATTTTATGTGCGCCAGATTTCGAAACATGCCACCAAGACTCCATGACCTTGCTGACAATGTTAGCTGAGAGAGGACATAAAGCTTCTCTAGACAAACTACAGTATTGTCAGAACCAAGTGGAGTATTTGGGTAGACTGATCCAAGAAGGGATGTGAGCTGTGTCCCCCTCACAGTTGCAAGCGGTGTCCCAGACACCTAGGCCCACCACAGTGAAGGAGATGATGACATTTCTGGGAATGACCGATACATCTGGGGACTGATAGCAGCTGACAGACTTGACACTAATGTATCTATATGTTAACTGTAACACCAAACAGACTTCCTTACTGTCATATTTACAGGTTGCTTTGTTAAATCAGTATTTTTTTAAGTACTGATTTAAACTGAGCAGTCTAGACTGAGTTGAAGTACATTACTAGGTTCTGTAATTACAATCTGTTCACACATTAGTCTACTTTCTCAGAACATGTGCAAGCTCTGACTGAAAGAGTATTTTAAATGAAGACCATGTTATCAGTCACTAACACTGGTCTGAAATCTGTCCCCTCTGAAACATAACGGTTTACACAGGAGGGTTCAGGCCACGTCCACACCAGAACAGACAAACCTGAAAACAGCGCACTCTAGAAGCTGTTTTGTCTTGTGTACATGTGCATGTTAGGTGTGTTTTCAGCTTGATCTGCTCTAATGTGAGCACACAAACACAACACAGGAAGTCACAACATGTAGTTGTACAGTAAATCACTTTACCATGTAAATCCCACACCGACAGCTTCAGTGAACACACAAACAAAAATGTTAAGGGTGACAATCAACAACAAAAACACTGACATTTGCATACTGCTAGTATCATTACTATCCTCACCACTACTACTACTACTACTGCTGCTATTACCACTATTGTACAGTTTTTCTGTGTAGTAGTGTGACTACTAGTTGTATCACTCAGTGTTTTTATGTTTGCCTTCTGGTAGATTCGGGACAAAGTCACTGGTCCCAAAGTCACAAATGAATCTCAGGTCTTGACTTTTAAACCCTGAGACATAAACCGGGTCACATCCTAAGTAGACACAGGTAAGTGTCTAGTTATGTTCAAGTCATTTTGTAGTTTGAGAGCTACACAAATCACTGTGCACTAAATTTAATCTTTAATTATGTGGGGCTTTCTTTGGGTTTCATCTTATTCATGACTCAGGTCTAATTTACTGACTGTATAAAATGTGGATGCCATGACAGCTCCCAGAAGCGAAGCCGCCATGACATGGTTTCAGTACAGGTCATAAACCCCACCTTCTCCATGTTATTGCATGGGACATGAGCCAAAGTAAATGCTCAAAGCGCAAATCAGATACATTTGGCCAAGGGTCACTTCTGCAGTTTTTGGTAGATATTATCACGCTGATGTGTGAACAGGTGTTATTTTTTTATTAAGTTATGTGATGATCAAAAAGGGGTGTATTTTGCATGATTGACAGCTTTGATTGGCGGCCTGATACGTCACTGAACTACTCAGATGCTACTGTGCAGAATCGGGTTGCAGAAGATGGCAGCTGCCATATTCATGATATTTTGGCTTCACTTTTCCATAGTGGAAGGAAGTGGTGACATGTTATCCATATAAACAGTCTATTGTCTAATTCTAGCCCAAGTCACATGACTCTTGTACACACCTGAGGCTGTCAGCATCCAGTCAAAACAGGTAAGTCCCAAGTCTCAGGGTAAGACAGATAAGCCCAAAATCAAGCCCAAAGTCCAAAGTCAGTGAGTTTGGTGTCTTTTGTCATAGACTAGTTAACCAATTTAAGTGTTTTTGGAACAAGTCTGTTTTGATTTTGCCGAGTCTGAAATCAGATTCCTGAGTCTAGTCCAAGTCCTGTGACTGCAGTCCACACCCCTGGCTGTCATCATCCAACAGTGTTCAAAGTTGTGACATGACTGACATATGGCACAGCATGTAGCACTGACTGGTTCTGTTACTGCTATTTTGGTCTATAACTTGCATCAGCATGCAGCCGTTTCTGTTACAGACTTTACTGTGGATGACTGACCAGAGTGAGTCCTCATGTGTCGGGTCAGGTGGGTTTTCTGTGAGCTGGAATAGTCGCAGTATGGACACTGGAAGGGACGCACACCTGTACATCACAGAAAACAATACAAACATCACATATTCATGTCTGACTGGTTTTGTTACTGCTATTTTGGTCTATAACTTGCATCAGCATGCAGCTGTTTCTGATACAGACTTTACTGTGGATGACTGACCAGAGTGAGTCCTTATGTGTCGGGTCAGGTGGGTTTTCTGTGAGCTGGAATAGTCGCAGTATGGACACTGGAAGGGACGCACACCTGTACATCACAGAAAACAATACAAACATCACATATTCATGTGAAAAAAGACATTAACCCTACTGAGCTAGTCTTCATGGTTTCAGAGACTAAGACAGACTGAGACATGCCCAGCCCTCCTACCCGTGTGTGTCCGGATGTGTTGGATGTAGTTGCTCTTGCGATCGGAGAAGTAGGAACACTGGCTGCAGGTATGCAGTTTGCTGGGGAAGTGATTCCTCAGGTGTTTCCTCCAGTGGTACTGACTGACAGTGGTGTAGGGACATAAAGTACACTTGAACACCCTGCAGAGAGACAGCACACACACTCATGTTAACACAGGTCTTCACAGGTGATGAGTTAAGCTGCTTTGCTGCTGGACGCCACCGACCGCAGTGGAACTGGTTCCCTGTTACCTGTGGTCCTCTCCCTCCTTGCTGTGGTGTTTGAGGTGAGCGATGTAATGGTCATATCTGTTGGTGTTGTACCCACACCGTTCACACCTGATCAGCCCTTTGACGTCGCCTGTTGTCACCACCTCCCCGCTGCTCTCCACCTCCTCACCTGATGGAGCCTGAGACTCAGGTGATTCTGTCTCCTTGGTCTTGGTCTTGCTGCGCCCCTCCACCCGGTTCACCACCATCATCTTGTTCATGCTGTGGGTGCTGAGGTGTTCTACAAACTCCTGCTCATTCTGAGCCTGGAAGTGACATGGCTTACAGTGGAATGGTTTCTTCTTCTTCATGCCTTCCAGTGCAGCGGTGGGGCTGTCTTTATGCTTGGTGACCTGTTGAGGCATTTTAGTGCTGGTGGAGGGGCAAGGCTGGGAGCGACGAGACAGGTCTTCAGCTTTGTCCCCTTCCTCACCCACATCGTTACCTATGACCACTCCATCGACACCCGGACCTGGAGACTCAGGGTACTCAATGATACAAACCTCTCTGTGGCTCTGGTTGTCGTAGCTGTACCTGATCAGACACACAGGTGAGTTCACACACAAGTAACATAATCATTATGGTCTTTAACAGTGCATTAACTAACATTTTCAACACAGTCTGATAAACCTAGTGAGAATGGGACAGGACGTGGTGTCCCTCAGTTATACTACCCCCTTCCTTGACCCTCTGCTGCCTACAACCCTTCTATTGTTATTCCAGCTCCTCTACCCGTCATCACAGCACCAATGAAATTATTTGAAGCTTCAGGCTAACTCCTGACCTGATGATGCTCTCATCCTCGCTGTCTGAATAGCTGCATCCCACCGTCTTCAGTTCCATCATCTCCTTCTCATCTGCCACACTGCCATCACAGCCACCACCCTCTGCCGCAGTCACCGCCGCCACGTTGGCCAGCATTACCAGCTGAGGGGCGGGCAGCGTGTTCCTGGGTATGTCGCTGAGACTATGAGCATCCTCCATCACAGAAACACCCACAGGAAACATCTCTGCCGAGAACGCCGTCTGAGCAGCCATGTTGAAGTACAGGACGAACAACTGAAGAGAAGACAACGTGGAGGATCATAGAGCTGACAATGAAGAGGGGAAGACAGAACTAAAACTATATCACAGGTGTTATACTGAGAGCTGGTCTGTTACAGTGCACAGACACATTTTTATTAATCCAATCATTAATTATAAAAGTTAATGATTTCAGACTTTTTTTTTTACTAGCAGCACAGAGGAGGAATATTTTATGTGTATTTGAATAAACATTTGCAGTTTGAGCTTATGCTGTTAGAAGACATAGCCCCCACTTAAAATGTTTCCCATTTGTATGGAATTTCCTGTCCACATACTTCATCAACTTCTCTGTCAATGTTTTGCCAGTTGTAATTACTGGCCAGTGAAACATCTCGTTTAACTAATGTTCAACCTCATGACACATTCTGTTAACTTTCAGCAGAATTTGTGCATGAAAGTGACAGGAGAGAGAAAATTGGTCTCTATTGGTGTACATGCTATAACGCACTAGCTATAATTTTAAAATAAGTGAGTGTGTGTGTGGTTGTTTGTCGGCCCTGTATAGACTGGCTAACTGTCCAGGATGGGCCCCGCCCCTCCCCCCAGGGCAGATTGGCCCCAGCCCCCCTGTCAGGGAAAGCGGTATAGATAACGGATGGATGGATTTTAAATATATCTTATACATATTCTAAATACAATGGATTGTAAATATGTAGAGGTGAAACAGGTATCAATGGACAGGTCAAAGTAGGCAGCAATACAAAGAGTGGTTGACATTGGCTCCACCTTTACCAGCTGCAACATTAAAGTGATGAAGACAATAATGAATCGGTCTTTATAATTTAACAAACACATACAGCCTACAGTAATGTGAAATGTGCCGTTCTACATAATGAATACTTTTGCTATTGCACATATATTTGCATACTTTTGAATGCAGGAGTATTTTTACACGGTAGTATTGATACGTTTACTGCAGTAAGGCACTAGTACTTCCACCGTTGGTATCTGGCGCGACACTTCTCGATGTCGGCCATTTTGAAACAGCACCACGACTCGATCGACAGCGCCACTCGGACATAAAACACATTCAGAACTCCCTCTGGAAAAAGCTATGTTTAACGTTAACTAATTACACCCAAGAGACTTTTAGATAAACAAACACTGGTAGATGAGCACAATTTAAAGAGATATGAAGGTTGTTTAATTTTAAAAGCTTCAAAGAAATATGTAAATGAAGTTTTAATAATATCACAAAAGTGGCAAAAAGCAGCAGTCTATCAGTGGAATTAAAACAGAACTGTTGATTGGGAGAACCCCTAGCAATCACGCGCATCAGAAAAAGTTCTGATGTAGGAGCTTCGTGGTTGGATCACCTGGTTCTGGGCAGAGACCATTTCAGTTGAAATGCCAGTCACGTGTGCATAATTTTCAATATGTCTGCAAACGTTGTTTAAGAGTGGGAGAAGAGCAAACCTGAGTCTTTGGGGTCTGTACTCTATAAGTGTTTGTTTAAATTGTTAAATACGGTTCCCGTTCAAAGTGAGTGTAGCTGATCCAAAGTTGTGGCTGTGATTTGAAGCGACCATTTCACATCAGTGTTTCACTAAACTTTAGTTTGCGGAAGCACAGAAGTCGGGTCAAACATTATGATTTTTTATTTGAAGCATTAGTGGAAACTTTCCCTGTCGTGTTTGGGTAAAGTTTTAGTCGGAAGTGGGTTAAATGTAATGTGTATAACATGGCAGAAAGGTGTTTTGAGTGTTAGCCATGGTCCTGATCAGCCCCGGACAGCGCCTTCTTCTCCACCTCACCGCCTCCATTTTCCTCCAACTGCCAACAACTTTGCAACCGCTCTGCTCCGACAACACGACACCCTGCAGCTTCACATTCCGTCCGACATTTTACACCGAACAACAGGGAGACTCACCGACTCTTCAGATCCAAACTTTACTCAACTTTCGCTGAGTTCTGTCCAGTTTTGTCACTTTTCTTCGTCGAACAGCGCAGACAGAAAAGTGTAAAGAAGTTTCCGCACATTTTTTTTGGACGTACGACCGTGACGTCAGCACGTCGTCCTCCTGCGAGCTGTTAGAACAATAAATCACAACTTTTTTTTTGCAACACAAAATATCACATTTATAGGACAAAGCACATAACATATTTCATTAGACAAGAGACATTAACAAAAGAGGCAAAGAGATTATTGATTAAAAGTATTAAGCTGTGTGTGTGAAAGTGTGAGGTGTGTGTGTATCCAGCTCTGTGCAGACTGATATTCACTACTTAAGGGAAAATAGAATTAAACCAAATAAATTATGATAATGGAGATGGTGTAAATGTAAAGGTGTAAAGGAATGAAAAGACAGTGTGATATAAAATTAATGATTGTAGTAATAAAATAACAAAGAAGAAAAAAAGCAATAAAGCAATATAAATCATATAATATATACTTTTTATTTATTTTTTTTTAATGAATTCCAAGCATATAATACAGATAAGGGAAAAGAAATCATAATCAATATATACCTCAAAACAACCAGAGAAAACCCAAAAAAGATAGGAAAAGAAAAAAGTGGGGGTAGGTAATATTCTCAATTAATTTGGTTTGATTGATAGGTGTGAAACAGAAACATGGACAATGAGGACTAATAACAGAAACAATATTGTAGTAAAAAGCAGCTTATTATATTTCAAGGAGTTTGTGGGAATGTGTGTGGCCTTGGCCTCAGGTATCTGGTTTAAGTTAAAAGAGATTAGAAATGGATCGCAAGTGTCAGTAAAGGTTGGTATATTACTCTTATGGGTGGATGATATTTTCTCTAGTGTGATATATTCTATAAGAAGGTTGGTCCAGTGGTTGATGTGTAATGAATTTTTAGATTTCCAGTTTAGAAAGATTGTTTTCTTGGCAATAGTTAGAGAGATAAGAAGTGGGTTTTTATATTTAATTGGTAGGTGGTTGAATCCTGTGACATTACCGAGCAGACAGAGTGTCACACAAACATGACATAGCAAGGCAATAGAACATGTCTGAAGTACATACAAATCACTCATCAGCTGATGGCAGGGCTCTGCTGTTACCCAGGGCAGAAAAACAACCCACTGACAAGCTCGTCCACTGAATCCAAAACGCAAAAAGTCCACCAGTGTTTGACAGTATATTCCCAGTGAATAATTCCCACAAAAGTCATCTTGAAAGTCCAGAGGTCTGACATTCAAACCGACTCTCAAAAGAGGTCTGCCAAGAGATGACAGGTGCTGGATCTTTAACGAAAGAGGACACTGGTCGCATAAATTCCATTTAATCAGTTAGTGGTAATGTTACTGTTCTATCTGTATTTAACAAGGGCCATGTAGATATATAAGCAAAGTAGGACAGAGATGGTGGAGGAGACCAGGACAAACAGGTAAACAGATAAACTGATGGCAGGAATCAGGAGAGCAGGAAGATGAGGACGGACAGGGGAATAGACAGACCAACCAGGAAAACTGGCGAACGAAAAGGACATCCACAGCACAGGAACTGTCAGCGTGGAAAACAAAATGACGTATAATACATACCATGAAAATATGTCTGTTATGGGGTATGTGAGTTAGGTAAGGCAATGCTCCAGCAACGACGAAGCGTCTGCCAGACGTATAAATAAGGAGGCAGGGAATCAGCAATTGGAGTGTATCTACATGGTGTTAATGATGATTTAGTGGTTTTGTTTGCTTTGTGATATTTTTTAAATAGTTCATTTTCTT